ATATTGGATCATAGGCTTTGTCCTCCACCTGAAGAAATATATAGTCTACATAGAAAATTATCAGGAGTTTTCTTATTGTGTGCCAAGCTTCAAGTTAAAATAAATTGTCGCGATATGTTTCGCGAGGTTTATGCAAATTATGAATTTGAATAATAATGCTATATAAATTAATGCTTTATACCTTAAACATGTATAGTTAAATCAATATAAACATTTTTACAATCAATACCTTTTATTATTTAGACCTTTAATTTACTCATATACTTAAAGCATTAAATTCGTGTATCTTCTAATTTTAAGTTGTATTCTGATAGCAGTTTATTTATTGTAACATGTTTTTGTTTAAATAAAATCTGGGTAATTATATAAGGTACAATTATATCTCTATCAAAAAATATCATAAATACATATTTAATACTGATAACGAATGATACCTTAACCTATTCATCTCTTTGTTCCCATTAATAAGTTATCTTCAACAAATTTCATAAATTAACTGGCGAAATGTCTAATAAATTCTTATATTTTGCATACGGAAGTAATATGTTAACAAAAAGAATACATATTAACAATCCAACTGCAGTACGAAAAGATATCGGATTTTTAAAGGTAAATATACATGGTTAAAGGAAATTTCCTACGCGTTTAGTAAATCCATTTCTATTTTGAATAATTGAAAACAGCAAGATATGTGTTATGCTTTATAAAATTTCATTATTTGCTTTATTATTTATCTAAATACTGAATTATATTAGAATTTCAGATTAGATTTTATAACATACTCAAGGAGATGGGGTGGATGTTCAGCAACAATTGTTCCTACAGAAAATTATATTGTATGGGGAGCAATTTGGGAATTAGATGAATGTAATATGTGTACATTAGATAATCAAGAAGGTGTAGCAGATAAATTATATTTCCCTTTAATGGTTGACATAGAAACACTTACTGGTAAAATATTTAAATGCAGAGTGTATCAGCAATGTAACAATCCTGATAAAAATGTAAAATTGTGTTTGCTACCAAAATACAGAAGACCTTCACCGTTGTATTTGTATGTTATACTTAATTCTATTCAATTTGTTTAAGGTTTATTATATAATTATTAATTATTCTCTTACAGAGAAACAATATTAAAAGGTGCACATGAAAGTCAATTACCACTTGATTATATTAAACTCTTACAAAAAATACCGCATAATGAATATGCAGGAGAATATGATATTGGGTAAGAATAATTATTCATTTTATTATTTTTATTATTCATTAACTCATTGCAACATTAAACAAAATTTTTATTTATGCAGTTAGTTTCATTATGTACAGGCTCTTTACATTTAAATAATTTGGTTTTCATACAAATAGTATATTTGATAAAAAATTATGTATATATCTATAATCCTTTTTCTGTTTCTATTTTTCTTACCTGATGTATTACATTCGAACATTGCCTACCCATCTTTTTGTTGAAATTAATATTTTTGGATCACAGCCTTCCCTTGAAAGAAGACTAGATTTAACGATCTTATGCTTCTTTAAATGTTTCTGGACAGCTGGCTCATTCTCTATTAAATCAAGAGCTGCCTCAAGTGATAATTTATCTGCTTCATACTTGGGTATTCTAATCTTTGTGCAAAGTGCATTATTTATCTAATAGTATACAGAATGACGTAGCATTAATAATGTGTTTATATAAAATTATACATAGTATTAAATAAAGTACTTTGATTTCTAAGAATCACACTGTTATTATTTATATAGTTATATAATAAATAATATAATGTAAATTTATATCATGATAGTGAAGTAATAAATACTTTAAATACTTTGTACTTACTATGATCTCCACTGACATTTTATAATTCATATCTATTTCTGGCCATTTTTGTTCCATAACATCCCTATCTAAGTCCACTTCATTCTTATCTATTAGATGATGTTTTACCTCAGAAAATGCGGACCACAATTCCGAAGCGAAATGTGGTGCAAATGGTGCAAGCATTATAATTTGGACTGCTAATGCACGTTCATATTCACGACTTTTTTTCATGCATTCCACACACACTTTGCGTATACTTAATATTAAAAGAAAAAGACGATTACTGTATCTAAAATTATTAGAATTGTTGATGTACCGCAAGATTGTAATATATACCTATTTGTAAGTCCTTGCATTCTTGATATTGCAATACTAAGTTGTTGAGATCCGATTATATTATAAGTTACAGACTTTAAAAAATAATTTCGACTATCAAACATGTATTCATCATGTTCTGCAAATTTAGAATCAGTAGGTTCCGCCTGAAGCTCTTCTGAAGTTACGCTATTGCGATAATCGTTAAAAGCTTTTACAGTTTTCCATAAACGATTTTGCCAATTTAATACTCCCGAAATGGCTGAATATTATTAATATATACATTATTTGATATATATAATAATTAGTTAAAATTTTTATTACAAAGAGCTTACTGTTATGGTCACAACGCTTATCTGAAGTTGGTGCTTGATCAGCTAATATAAATAATCTAGTTGTATCAATTCCATATTTATCTAAGAATTCAAGAGGATCAATGCCATTATGTTTTGATTTAGACATTTTGTCCCATGAGACAATGACTGGTTCTTTGGTATTCTTTTCTACATATTTTCCTACATGTTCTTCCACTTCATCCGCTTTTAAATATTTCTCTGTCTTTTTTAGCTGATATGTTTTATTAAGTACCATACCCTGCACAAGCAATTGTTTAAATGGTTCTGGAGTAGGTAAAAGTCCTTCTGAATGTAGAAAATGACTTATAAATCTGGCATAATATAAGTGCAGTACAGCTGAAATTATAATATTGTTAATTTGAGATCTTTAAATATATATATTTTATATCTACAAAGAATTTAAATATTAGATACTTACCATGTTCTTTTCCACCTATATACAGATCAATAGGAAACATTTCTTTTGCCTTATCAACAGCAAACATCTCTTTCATATTTTGTGGGTCAATGTATCTCAGATAATACCATGAACTATCTACAAATGTGTCCATTGTATCTGATTCTCTAACTGCTTGAGCTCCACATTTAGGACAAGAAGTATTTAACCAATCCTTAGTTTCACATAATATAGACTTTTTATTTGAAGATGAAAATGTTATATTTGGTAAAATTACAGGAAGGTCATTGCGTGGTACTGGTTGGATACCACAATTTGAACAATAAATAATTGGAATTGGTGTACCCCAATATCTCTGTCTAGATATTAACCAATCTTGCAATCTTGAACCAACAAGGTATCCACCAATTTTCCACTTTCTTGCTTTAGATAATATTTCTGATCTTTTGTTTTCTTGTTCTTCATAACTTCTTATCGAATGCCGTACAAATTCAATCCCAACTATTTCAGAAAACTGAAAATCATCTATTGATGCAGACGGTATACCAAGATAAGTATCTCTATGAGTTGGAAATGCAACTTTATCTGTTACAAATACTGGCAATTCATTTCCATTGAATGGGTTTAATACTTTAACATCTATGATTTGAATTCCTTCTGCCACATCTCTACAATACTCTGGTCTATTTAATAAGCTTTTTGGAGATATTGCAATAAACTTTGCATATTCAATAAATTCTGGATAATTAGTCCAAACATTTACTGTTTTGGGATAATTTGGGATAGTTCCCATCAACTGTAATTCAAAGCTAGTACCACTGCAGTCACCTATCCAATTTTGTTGGATTTTTTTGACATCTTTCCATTCTGTCAATGTTGGATCATTTAAACCTTGAGACAATGATCTGGTATGATACAAAATAAATTAGTTAAATACTATTTGTAATTCTTATTATATATTTCAATGTTCTTTAGAGATTGTTAAATTCTAATATACCTACTTAGCAAATGATGTAGTCCTAACAAACCACTGATTTAGCAACCTTTTTTCTACTTTTGCACCTGATCTCCAAGAGCAATTATTTGCATCAACTTGTTCCTCTGCTAATACAGTTTCATCAACAGGATCCCAATTAACAAATGATTCTTTCCTATAAACCAAATCTTTGTCAAAAAGTTTTAAAAATAATTCCTGCGTCCACTTATAATATTCATGATCACATGTAGCAAATTCTCTATTCCAATCAAAAGAATAATTCAATGATTTTAATTGATTTCTCATCTTTTTAATGTTATCGCATGTCCACACAGCAGGATCAACTTGTCTTTCAATTGCAGCATTCTCAGCAGGTAATCCAAATGCATCCCAACCCATTGGATGAAGGACATTATATCCTGAAATAAAAGAGAAAAGTGTGTCAACAAAAAATTATATAAATAAACCAAACAATATATATAATTACACTTAAATTAAAGAATTTACCTTTCATTCTATAAAAACGAGCAACTGTATCACTTATTGTATAAACCCTTACATGACCCATATGAAGTGTTCCAGAAGGATATGGGAACATTGATAATACATAAAACTTTCTCCTTGTACTATCTGCATCATCATATTGATGTAAGTTAATTTTATCTTTCCAATATTTTTCTATATCCTTTTTTATTGCATTTGTAACTTTTGCATTCTAAAAATATGATCAATGCTTTATGCATTATAGTAACAATACCAATTTATAACACTACAGACATGAAAACATACCGAACATACCGAAAATTGGTTTATGCCGGTCGAAGCGTATCGGTAAATTACATTTTTTAAGAATATATTACTTTTATAATATGATACAAATGATTCTCTAATCTTCATTTTTAATTAAATTATTTAAATACCTATTTAAATATTCTACAATTAAACATGAAACATTCAACTTGTGCTTAGTATACACGATCTTATAGCAAGTTGCCATATTTATTAACTACTTTAAAGTAACTTCATTTTACATTTAAATTATTTTAATAAAATTATATGTAAAGCGAAGCGATATTTGTAAACAAATAATATTTTTAAAATATGATTTTATCATAAAATAATGTAATTTCAATCTTCATTTAGTAAATTTTGTTTTGCTGGGAGCTAAAACTTCCGCTTGGTGGTGCTGATTCTTTTTCCGGTCTATGCCTTGTAAACAAGTTCGTGAGTATTCTTTTAAGTTCGAAATCCAATTAAAATCTCAACATCTTGAAATAATATTTCTCAAAGTAATAGAAAATTGTTGTTATTTATGTTTTTAAGTGTAATTAAATAATATGATTGTAATTTTATAATATAACAAGTAAAGAAATATTTTGACATTAATCAGGTTATCTTTGTCTCATATGTTTTAATTTCAATTAATGATATATCTTTTCTAATAGTAGGATGTGTCCATAATAATTATATGAGTATTATAAAGTAATATTAAAGTCACAAAAATTTTATTTGTGAAGGAAATTTAATGTTTTGTTTATACTTAGTAATAATACTGTTTCCAACCTATTATACTAATCTTAAGTTTATAAAGTGTATTTTTACAAATCTTTTAAGAAACAAATTGTATATAATTTAGTATTTTTGTTTCAGTTCAACCATGGGTAAGAGAAATAATATGATCCCTAATGGACATTTCCATAAAGATTGGCAAAGATTTGTTAAAACTTGGTTTAACCAACCAGCCAGAAAATTTCGTCGTAAACAAAATCGTATAAAGAAAGCTCGTGCTGTTGCACCAAGGTAAATAGCATACGTTTATTTCATTTTTATTTCTGTTGTCCATTTATGTAAATTAACTTCAATAGTATTTTATTTCAATTTAAGACCTGTGAAGCTTCTGAGGCCTATTGTTCATTGCCCAACATTCCGTTATCACATAAAAGCTAGGGCAGGCAAAGGTTTTACCTTAAAAGAACTGAGGGCTAGTGGTTTAAATAAAAAATATGCTAGGACTATTGGAATTGCTGTAGATCCTAGAAGGCGTAATAAATCAGTCGAGTCTTTACAAAGGAATACTCAAAGACTAAAAGAATATAGATCCAAATTGATTCTTTTCCCACTGACTGTAGCCAATGTAAGTAGAATATAGTAAATTTAAAACTATTAAAGAAAGACTACATTCTAATGTTATTTATGAAAATAGCCTAAGGGTGATGATTCCACTAAAAAAGAAGTGAGACTTGCCACTCAAGTTAAAGGAGAAATCATGCCAGTGAGACACCAAACGCATGCTAAAGCTAAGGCCCGTGTCATTTCTGAGGAAGAAAGAAAGTTCTCTGCATACGTAACTCTCCGTAAAGCTAGGGCTGATGCCAGACTAGTAGGAATTCGCGCAAAACGTGTAAAAGATGCAGCTGAAAATCCAGATGAAGTAACTAAAGTTGCTAAAGACAAGAAGGCTAAGAAATAATGTGGAACTTCATGTCTTTGTATAAATATAACAAATAAATTCTCTAATGAGAAATAAAATTTTCTATTTGTTTTTATTTTATACTATTTATTGAATATATATATATATATATCATACAATGAAGACATTTTATTTGCCATTAGTATTTGTATAAAAATATAATGCATTTATTATATATATATGACAATATCAGAGAGGAAATTTTTCTCTGTGACTTCTGACTAGTGACATTTGAGTGTTACTAGTCTAGCATGAATTTCATTGGCAGGCGTGTGACGCGAAGCCACTTCCGGGGTGCGGGGATCATAGTCATATGAAACTTGACTTAGTGATGTATGTCAAAAAGAGAAAGTAAACCAGTTAACCTATTGCATTTAGTTTCAGGACAACAAAAGTCCTGACTTTTTTCTCTAAGACGCAGTAGAGAAAGTACTATTCCAACTTCTAACATTCAGTATCATGACTATAAAGCAACGATTTTATGTCATGTGTAAACGTACCCATTACACTAATTTACTTTTACTAGAGAAGAAATTTCCTTACTGCTCTTACTCAATGAAAATAAGATTGCGCTTGGGCAATTACAACCAATCATCGATCTGACCCTAAAGTACCACTTGCTCGTGTTCTCCGCTCCCCGGAAATGATTTTACACCTCCCGGTGGAAGTATAATCTCCCCAATGAGATGAGGCAGAAAACAGAAGTATTATTCGAGTTTTATTAGTCGGCAACTAATAGTTGCAGTTGTAGCAATGAAATTTTTTTTATGTTTACTATCTTGTTTTGTGGAACAGACCATAAAAGTTTATGTTCAGTCTTTATATATATATGTCGGTCCTATTTACATGGTACTCTAATTAATGGTACTCTCTATTTAATCGCGAAATAAAAATCTTTTCATAGTTCTTTTTCCTGTTTTTATACTTTAATGAGTTAAGTTGTACTTAAAGTAGCACTATCATTTATAGTTTTTTTTTGGTATAAATATTGGTAGCACTTCAATACTTTAGTACATTTCGTAACTAGATTTGAATTTTAAACACCGAATCAGGACAACGGTTTTCGGTTCGTGGCATTTATCAAATATTATCTTTCGTATATATTTTTCACATTATATTGTCATAAGTTTTAAAATAACTAAATATCAAGCAAAATTTATAGTTACGAAAGATGAAATCTGCGTAAGTTTTATTATTTCTTAATCAGTTTATAACTGAAGTCAAATAAAATTTAGCTATTTTCAATATTTTATGACTATTACTTTCTATAATCTTTTAATGTAAAATTTAATTATTTGTTATTAATTAATTGTTTGGTACTATTAAAGTTATTTTGTAATGTAGAATAATTGAAGCTATTCGTGGTATGTTAATATTTTAGACGTGCGAAACCACCAGGTTCAGCTCGTAAGCCACCAAACCGTCCAAGAGGTAATAATATGGTATCCAAGGATCCTGTTCAAGTTTATTGTCGTTTAAAGCCAATGCAACATCCAGCTGATGTTTCTTGTATGAAGCTTATATCTGATACAACTGTAGTTATTACACCACCAGAATCAGCAATGAATTTTCGTAACTCTAGCAACAAGGAAATTCAAACAACATTTAGTCGTGTATTTTCACCAGATGCAACGCAAAAAGAGATTTTTAATATAGTTGCTCTCCCATTAGTTGAAAATGTTATTCGAGGTAGAAATAGCCTTTTATTCACCTATGGAGTAACAGGAAGTGGTAAAACATATACTATGACTGGTGAAACACAGGATGCAGGCATAATGCCTCGTTGTCTTGATGTTCTGTTTAACAGTATTGCTAATTATCAGACCAAAAAATTTATTTTTAAACCAGATAAATTAAACGGTTTTGATATACAAGGTGAAGCTGATGCAATGCTTGATAGACAAAATGAACTTCATGCTGGACTTATGTTACAGAGAAATGGAAAATCAGGCAAAGTGTAAGTACAAGAATATGTGATATGCTTTATGTAATGTAAATGGCTTTATTAATAATTGATGGTTTTCACAGGAGAAAAGTAGAGAGTGATAGTGAGAGTAATCCAATGATTGTTCGTGACATAAATGAATCACAAACAGTACAAGTGGATCAAGACAATGTCTATGCTGTATTTGTAACATATGTTGAAATTTATAATAACAGTGTATATGATTTATTAGAGGACGAGGATATTAGAAACAAGTATAGTATCATTACTTACACAATTCAAATATTCTTAATTTCAAATAATATTTTAATACTGAGAAATAACTTTTAGGGTATTACAGAGTAAAATAGTTAGAGAAGATGGTAATAAGAATATGTATGTGCATGCTGTAACAGAAATTGAAGTAAAAAGTTCAGAAGAAGCATTTGAGGTATTTCAGCGTGGACAGAGAAGACGAAGAGTTGCACACACTGCGCTTAATGCAGAATCAAGTAGATCACATAGTGTCTTCACTATTCGTCTTGTACAAGTAATATTTCTAATTACTTTGCGTCTCATCTAATTAAAATTCACAAACAATATAGTATTTTCTTCTCCTAGGCACCCTTAGATGGTGAAGGTGAACAAATTATACAAGATAAACGGGTGGTATGCATCACTCAGCTATCCCTAGTAGATTTAGCTGGTAGCGAAAGAACTAATAGGACTAAAAACACAGGTCAACGATTAAGAGAAGCAGGTTATTATACTTTTGATGTGAATCTTGTAATTATATTATAATATATTTTCATATCCATTCATTTTGATTTAGGAAATATTAATAATTCTTTGATGACGCTACGATCATGTTTGGAAATTTTAAGAGAAAATCAACTTCAGGGTACAAATAAAATAGTACCCTACAGAGATTCGAAACTCACCCATTTATTTAAAAATTATTTTGATGGAGAAGGACAAGTTAGAATGATTGTTTGTGTTAATCCAAGAACAGATGATTATGATGAAACAATTGTAAGAAATCAATAATATAAAACGTAAATATATGAAAGAAAATTAATTAATTTATTCATGTTTTACAGCAAGTAATGAAATTTGCCGAAATGACTCAAGAAGTCCAAGTAGCTAAACCAACAATTACGAAAATAGATCTTGGTTTTACACCTGGAAGAAGACAGGCAAATAAGGTGAGATGAGTAATAAAAGAATAACAATGAAAATAATTTGAAAATACGTGCATAATAAAAACTATTTTTAATAGTTATTTAAGGAGGCATGTAGTAAGTTGCAAAAAGAGGGCCATCCTGAAGCTGAAGATTTAGAAGTTGATGTGGGTTTAGTGTATAGGTAAGTATTATATGTTTTCTTTATTCTTTCTTCAAACTTATATAATTTTATTTTAATTCAGTTTAGGTGGGCCATTTCCTGAATTGGAAATTACTTCTCCACGCAATGATCAAATAATTAATAATTTAATGCATTTTTTAGAACAGCGTATTAACAAACGGAATTTACTACGTACTGATTTACAGCAAAAACGTAAGAATATAACTTAATTTTTAATCAAACTTAAATTATGTGTAAATTATGTGTAATTCATGACTGTTACATGATTATTACAGAAAACGATCTTAGGAAAAAGATAATGGCAATGGAACAAGAATACATGAATTTAAAGATTGAAAATGCGTCTCTGAAAGCCGCTAATTCACAACAAAAAAAGAAGGTAATAGCATTTTACTGATTACGGAAGTACATATAAAATAATTTGCTTTTGCTGTAGGTTTCTGCATTAGAGGGTCATTTATGTAAGACTGAAGAACAAATTGATAGCTTGCTTCGAAAATTAAACAATGCAAATGATACAATCCGCAGCTTACAGCAAGAGGTAGTTAACGAATGCATTTCTTTTTTTATTTAAATGACAACATATATTTTACTACAATTATTTTATAGTTAAAAGATAGAAACATGGCACTAAATCAACGTTTAATAGATAAGCAAAGAGTGAAACAAAAGTACAACACTAAAATGCAGTTAGAAACTGATAAAATGAATAAAGAATTGGAAATAAAGTTACGTCAACAACGTGAACACTTACAGGTAATGAAATAAATATAATATATGTATAAATTCATTGTTTAATTTTTTTCTCTCTTTTTAGAATCAAATGAAAGAAAAAGAGGATAAATTAAGATTAGTAAAACAAATTTTAGTTGATGACAACGTACCTAGTGTTTCTAAAGATTGTGTTGTACCTACTATTAACTGTGCAGAAGCAACTCCAAAAACAACAGAGGGTCGATCACGAAGGGTCAGTTTATCTTACATTACGTAATTTACTTTCGAAAATATAGTTTAATGATATGTGCTCATAGGATAAAGCGGGTGTTGCAAATCCAAGGTACAGGCGTTCACAAAGCGCGGATAAGTGGATTGATCACAGACCCGGAGCGCTTGTTCCTGTTGGAACTGTTCTTCAACCTTTAATGCGTAGAAGACGTAGTGTTACGCGACTTACAGATCCAAAGGAAATTACAGACGGTGCATCCAGGTATTGTCTTATCGCGCAAGAACACGATACTGATGGTGAACTTGAGACAAAGTTATTCAAGGTAATTACACTTAAAAGGAATCGAAAAGAGTTATGTAGTTATATACTCAAATGTATTATTATTATGTTAGGGAGATATAATACCCACTAGTGGAGGAGGCGCACAAGTTGTATTTAATGATATGGAATGCTTAAAACAACTATCTCCAAAAGCAAGGAAACGTAGTGGTCCACAGGATACAGAAAATGAAATAGGCTCTTCGAGACATTCGTCTACACTTGCAGAGTCTCATTCAAAACGTCCACGTGTAGTAAATTAACAGTTTTATTAATATAATACTAGTATAGTAATAATAGTTTTTATACGATATATAATATAATAATACGATACACATATAAATATCTAAAAACTTCTACTAAAAATAGTAATGGTAAAGAAAAATACTAATAATAGTTAAAAACAATGATATGAAGTCAAGATGTTAATATTTTCCTTTATCGTTACTATTTTTGGTAAAAGTTTTTACAACCAAAGTTTTTACAATATCAGTATTATAATTTATTAAATAATACAGTTCGCCAACAATGAATTGTGAGAAGCGATAATATTGTATACATAATACTTTATATCGTGAGGCGTAATATGAGTTATATGACTGCTATCTCATAACATGTATATATTCGTAATATTTGATTTTGAGATAATTAATAGTGAATTTTGCGCCTAATGTTGACTAATAATGTATCAATCTAATCTAATCATACATTTTGATCATGTTTACTCAGTTTTTATATACAATTATTTATATACAATATACATATATCTATCAAATTCACTGCAGTATATATTGTTAGTGAACCTTGTAGCTTTATCAAAGCTGTATTCACTTAAGATCGTTGTCTTCGTAATTGATTATCTAACTGCGCTAATTGGTGAAGAAAACCACTATTTGGTTGAATGAAACGATTTTTGCGGACTGTTCGAATTGCATCTGTGGCTAGCATTCCTTTTTTAATCATTAAATATGCTAATACACACGTTGCGCTACGTGAGATTCCTAACACACAGTGAACAAAAGCTTTACCTAATAGAAAGAAAGTCCAATTTTAAACGATCTATTGTAATTTTTCTATTTTTTCATTATTAAATTATTATTTCATTACCTCCAGTCGAAACAGCTTCATCAATAAAATCTGCAATAATGTAAAAGTACTTGCTAATGTCTGTTGTGCACAAATCAATAAGTGGTAAGCCAAGATACTTTATTGTTGTATCAGAATAATAATTCTTATCGGTGTTTACAAATCCAAATCTTTTTCCTTCAGCAGCATTAAGCAAATGTGTTATACCCAATATTTTAAGGTATTTCTTATTTTTTGCTGTGACACTATAAAGTATTGAACATAAATTAATTTTTGATAAACATAAAGACATAAAACATTGAAATACTCACGCATCACCAATATATATTCCTGGATATACTTCATCACAATCGATATCCTGTTGAACACGGTAATATTCAACATCATCTCGATTAGGATCAAATCCTGGTAGCATTTTATTCTCAGTCTGTGTTCTATACAAAGCTTCTGCTAAGTGACTTTGGGTGGTTTCCCCACCAGTTAAACGTTTCTGAAAATTCATGAGATAAAAGTTTTTACTATGAAAAGTAACTTTACAATATTATATAATTTTTAATAATCTGATTCGAAAGATGATAAATTTTCAATATTAATTGAATGTCATTTGAAATGATCAGATGATATTTATTTTTTCATGTATTTCTCATTATAAAAAGACGTTTAGAATTAAAAAGAATTTGAAAAAATATCAATTACATGTTCCTATGAAATGACAGGCGACTCAAATGCGAAGAAACAATTTCGAAGCATCTGTAAGTTTCAAAATATACGTAAATGATAGCAATACTATTCTTTATAATGTATACTTACATTTCTCAGACTGCTGTCCATTTGAAAAGATTATTTATAGATTAATAATTTATAGGTTATACTAGATATGACAAATAAGAAAGACAGCAAAATATTACAAAATATTTTGTATCTTACTAATCAAGTATGTCACGATTAGGTATGACTAATTCTAAGCTTTTACATATATACATAAACAAATATAGTTGCACACAATGTTAAAATCGCGATAATTATAGCTAGTTATTTCTCTTTTGGAACTCTGTTATACCGCGATAATTATACTGACAAGGTGTCATGTAAATACATCCATTAATTCGATTAATTTTTGTATATAACGAATAATTTTGTATATTTTTTAAAATAGTAGAATATTTGAAATCCTATATTTGTGCCAAGAATTTGATGTATAATTTTTTAAAATGATATTTAAAATTTCAACTCAAATTAAATCTTCATCATCTCGATATTTGAATATGTACTTGAATAATACTTGAATAATATATATATAATATATGTAACAATATTTATTCAGTTCTTTTATATTTATTATTATAAGTGTAAAAAGTAAATTCTAGAAATAAAATATTGGAATATTCCTGAGTTTTGATAAATTGAACGAAATCAAATTTCATAGTAACTAGATGAGCGATGAGTCATGACGTATGTATATCAATGCCTAAAGAAAATATGGCGATGGTATTTGGTTAGTGTCCTGTTCTGTTGATTTTACAGAAGGTGTTTGGTGTGTTTATCGTGCTCAAGATTGTAATTATAATTTAAATTCGGAGTAGAACTTATTAAGACAATGAGTTTCTTTAGTAAAGTATTCGGTGGTAAAAAGGAACCGGTGTCTATGTCGACAGCCGAGGCGATACAAAAATTGCGCGAGACGGAGGATATGTTAATAAAAAAGCAGGATTTCCTCGAAAGTAAAATAGAGCTTGAAATTCAAACTGCTAAGAAGAATGGAACGAAAAACAAACGAGGTATTTACGAATGATATTCTTTATTTAGTAACCACTTGCAAACAGCTTTCAATGATTAAGGTCGTTTGTCATTGTGACGTTTCTCTGCTGTGTGTTGACTGTGCGTTAACTTATATTGTAACTATTAATCAGTGCTTTAAAAATGCTGCTTTACCTATAAGTTTGTTAAACTAAGAATATAGCTTTTTAAGTAATAAGCGACGTTAACACTGTACAAGACATCCACATAGTATGAGTAACTAATAATTAGACTGTGAATGTTTATGCATTTATGAGAAATTGTTAGATGTAAAAGTGTACAGAATGCAAGTAATGTACAAAAATATATAAAGTATATATTAAAAATATAGTATTCATTATAATATTTACTATAAGAAACAAATTTATGTTTGTGTATTTCGTTAATTACATCTGTAAAAATGTTTATAAATTAGTATCAACATCCACATTCATGTACTAGCTACTAACTCTAGGATGAATATGTTAACAAGGAAACATAATTTACAGCTGCAATCCAAGCCCTTAAAAGAAAGAAACGTTATGAAAAACAGTTACAACAAATTGATGGTACACTTACCACGATTGAAAGTCAAAGGGAAGCACTAGAATGTGCAAATACCAATACTGCTGTACTTACTACAATGAAAAATGCAGCAGATGCATTAAAATCTGTCCATCAACATATGTAAGAAATTCAGTTTTGTGATATCATTAGTTAGATGATTCACGCAGATTATTTAAATGTTATTTTCTTTGTTTAGGGATGTTGATCAAGTACATGATATGATGGATGACATAGCTGAACAGCAAGATGTAGCAAGAGAGATTTCTGATGCAATTTCCAATCCTGTAGCATTTGGAAATGATGTAGATGATGAAGAACTAGAAAAAGAATTGGAAGAGCTTGAACAAGAACAACTTGATAAAGAATTGCTTGGTATTGAATCTACTGATGAACTACCAAGTGTTCCAGCTACTGCTATTCCAATTGCCCCAACTAGGACTCGCACAAGTAATAATTTTAATATTTTTTTGGTTTATTATTAGAAAATAATTTATTTTTAAACTAAAAATATTATTAATATTTATAGAAGCCAAACCAGAAGAGGATGAAGATTTAAAAGAGTTAGAAGCATGGGCATCATAAAGGTGGTATCAATATATTTGTAAAAATGAGTTTTTGTAAGAAACTGATAGCTAAAATGAAGTATGTATTATTGAAAGAGATAACAGTGTACATGAATGCGTTTTTCAGATTCAATATCATATAACTATTCTAATGTTAATACTGTGGTATTTTTATACACTGTTAAAATGATTAACATAATGATGAAGTTCATAGTAGTCATTTTCCTTATTACAGTATAAAGATTTTTTTTATCAATATACAAAGCAGAATCATAAGTAATAGCAAGTATCTTAAATACTTGCATTTGTGCTAGCCAATATACTCTACTGTTACAGTAAAAAATAAATTATATTGGACAAGTATATGATATACATACATAGCTATAAATGCTGGTAAATTATATACATATAATTTTTACTAACAGTGAGAAATACCTATGAGAACATTTATTGTATAAACTTTTTGTTCAAAAGATTAAATTGTAAGATATTACAATTGCTTCATAAAATTTTGTTGTTATTTTCATGTATATATGTATAACATATTTTGAAAAGTAGCGCAGTTCAAATTGTTAAATGGCCTTTTAAACTTTGTATAAATGTATCTGCTATAAATAAATTCATTTAAATGTATATTAATTTAGTACAACTATAAATACAGCAGATACAGTGTTGTATACATATTTTTACACTACAAATCATAGTAATTTTTGCACTATTATTAATATTTTATTAATTAATAATTATTGAATTATAAATATCCAAATTGCATCGAATTAATATGCCAATAGTATATATAAAATATTTATATTTTCACAAAATATGAATATATATAGGACAATTTAAAAAAATGGCTTAAATAATGATAGATATTTAATTAAAATGCAATATACATTACATAGTTTAAATGTTTTCACAATCATGAATATGCTTAAACTCCTAGGGAAAATAGTCTTTAAAAAATCAAGATTTATTTCATAATTTACAATTATAATGACTAAAGTCTCAATCACATAATAGGAGGAAATAAAATATTATCACTGAAGAACGTCGCTTTAATATGATACAATAGGCGTAGGAATATATTTTTTGTTCAATTTACTACTCAGCGCCGGTATGGGTAGTGGACGAATGTGTGGTTTAATAGAAAATCTAGTACCAGCGATATCAATTTCGTAACGAGCTTTAAGATCCATTATAAAGTCTGTTGTAACAGTATTTGCATTCATTTGTATATGTCCTGATTTTGGATAACTGATAAAACCAAGACATATATGTTTCTCTGTAGCGAAACCGTATCTATAAAGTTATTATTATTAATAATTTGATATAGTAAAATATATTTTATCTTTAATCGTATGAAGTATTTACCCGGCTGATGTAACAGTTCCTACAAATTCATTATTTCGATAAATAGGCTCGCCACCCCATGGCCATACATCCTTATTAATATCTAATTCATTAACAATAAATAATACTAATCGTTTTGATACGCCTTGTTCTTTTTGACGTTGCAAAGCAAATTTGCCAATAAAATATTCTTTCTGTTGCAACAAATTATCATAATTAATCAACATGTTTAAACTGTTGTGCCTCTGTATGATAGAAGTCCTCAGAAATTCAGATTTAACATTAATAGTCTTGGAACAAAAAAAATTCTATTACCATATACCTACTTACATCTAATCTTACATTGTATCCACTTCCAGCTTCATATGGCGTAACAAATGGTGTCAATTCTTCGGCCCAAAATGGAATA